GCCTACTTGGTCATAGTGGATATTTTTTTGATGTGTTCTTAGATTCGGTTTGCCAATATTTTATTGAGTATTTTTGCATCTGTGTTCATGAGGGAGATTGGTCTGTAATTCTCTTTTCTTTGTTTCCTCTTTGTGTGGTTTGGGTATCAGGGTAACTGTAGCCTCATAAAAAGAGTTCGGTAATGTTCCTTCTGGGTCTATTGTGTGAACAATTTGAAGAGTATTTGAATTAGCTTTTCTTTGAAAATCTGGTAGAATTCTGTGCTGAAGCCATCTGGTCCTGGGCTTTTTAGGTTTGGAGACCTTTAATGATGTCTCTATTTTTTTTTTTTTTTTTTTTTTTTTTAGGGGTTATTGGTCTATTTAAATAGTTTATCTGGTCTTGATTTAACTTTGGTACATGTTACCTATCCAGAAAATTGTCCATTTCTTTCAGATTTCCCAATTTTGTGGAGTATAGGTTTTTGAAGTATGACCTGATGATTTTCTGAATTTCCTCATTGTCTGTTGTTATGTCTCCCTTTTCATTTCTGATTTTGTTAATTTGGATGCTCTCTCTCTCTCTCTCTCTCTCTCTTGGCCTTTTGCTTAATTTGGATAAGTGCTGGTTATCTTGTTGATTTTCTCAAAGAACCAACTCTTTGTTTCATTGATTCTTTGTATTGTTCTCTTTGTTTCTATTTTATTGATTTCAGCCCACAATTTGATTATTTCCTGGCGTATTCCTTCTGGGTGAGTTTGCTTCTTTCGGTTCTAGAGCTTTCAGGTGTGTTGTTAAGTCATTATGTGAGATTTCTCCATCTTCTTTATGTGGGCATTTAGTCCTATGAATTTTCTCTTAGCACTGCTTTCATAGTGTCTCATAAGTTTGGGTATGTTGTACTTTCATTTTCATTGAATTCTAGAAAATCTTTTTTTTTTTTTTTTTTTTTTTTTTTCAAGACAGGGTTTCTCTGTGTAGCTTTGCGCCTTTCCTGGAACTCAACTCTGTAGCCCAGGCTGGCCTGGAACTCACAGAGATCTGCCTGGGATTAAAGGCGTGCGCCACCGCCGCCCGGCTAGAAAATCTTTAACTTCTTTCTTCCTTTATTCCTTGACCCATTGATGATTCAGTTGGGCATTATTCAGTTTCCATGAGATTGTAGGCTTTCTGTAATTTTTGTTGTTGTTGAAATTTAACTTTAAGCCATGGTGGTCTGGCTTGGCTTGGCCAGGAGGTTCTTTCTTTTCTTTTTTTTTTTTTTTTTTTTTTTTTTAATCTGTTGAGATTTGCTTTGTGACCGAGCATGTGGTCAATTTTAGAGAAGGTTCCATGGGGTACTGAGAAGAAGGTATATTCTTTTGTGTTAGGCTGGAATGTTCTGTAGATATCTATTAAGTCTATTTGAGTCAAAATAGCTGTTAGTTCCCTTATTTCTCTGTTAAGTTTCAGTCTGGCAGACCTGTCCATTGGTGAGATTGTGGTGTTGAAATCTCCTACTACTGGTGTGTGGGGTTTAATGTGTGATTTAAGCTTTAGCAGTGTTTCTTTTACAAATGTGGTTGCCCTTGTATTTGGGGCATAAATGTTCAGAATTAAGACTTCATCTTGGTGGACTTTCCTTGTGATAAGTAAGTAATGTCCTTCCCAATCTCTTTCTATTGATTTTAGTTTGAAGTCTATTTTATTAGATATTAGGGTAGCTATATCAGCTTGCTTGTTTTGTTTTTTCCTTCCTTCCTTCCTTCCTTCCTTCCTTCCTTCCTTCCTTCCCTCTTTCTCTCTCTCTCCCCCCCTCTCCCTCCCTCCCTTCCTTTCTTTCTTTCTTCTTTTTTTTCTTTTTTGTTTTGCAAAACAGGGTTTCTCTGTGTAGTTTTGGTTCCTGTCCTGGATCTCGATCTGTAGCCCAGGCTGGCCTTGAACTCACAGAGATCCACCTGCCTCTGCCTCCTGAGTGCTGGAATTAAAGGCATGTGCCACCACTGCCAGGCTTACCAGCTTGCTTCTTATGTCCATTTGATTGGATAGTCTTTTCCTAGCCTTTCACTCTGAGATAGTGTCTGTCTTTAAAGTTGAGGTGTATTTCTTGTATACAGTGGAAGGATGGGTCCTGATTTCATATGCATTCTGTTAGCTTGTGTATTTTATAGGCGAATTGAGACCATTGATATTAATGGATATTAATGACCAGTGATTGTTAATTCCTGTTATTTTTTGGTGGTAGTGTTGTTATGTGTTTACCTTGTTTTGAATTTATTGGTGTGGGATTATCTATTGCCCGAGTTTTCATGGATGTGTTTAATTTCCTTAGGTTAGATTTTTCTTTCTAGTGCTTTCTGTAGGGCTGGATTTGTGGATAGGTTTTGTTTAAATCTGGTTTTATCATGGAATATTTTGTTTACTCCATCTATGGTGATTTATAATTTTGCTGGGTATAATAGTCTGGGTTGGCATCCATGGTCACTTAGTGTCTGCATAATGTCTGTCCAGGATCTTCTGGCTTTCAGAGTATCCATTGAGAAGCCTGATGGGTCTGCCTTTATATGTTACTTGGCCTTTTTCCTTTGCAGTTCTTTTTTTTTTTTTTTTTTTTTATTCTGCTTGTTTAGTGGTTTGATTATTATGTGGGGAGGGCTTTTTTTTTGATCCAGTCTACTTGGTGTTATGTAAGCGTCTTGTATCTTCATAGGCATTTCCTTCTTTAGGTTAGGAAAGTTTTCTTCCATGATTTTGTAGAATATATTTTCTGTGCCTTTGAGTTGGTATTCTTCTCCTTCTTGTATTATTATTCTTAGGTTTGGTCTTTTCATGTTGTCCCAAATTTCCTGGAGGTTTTGTGTTATGATTTTTTTGGCTTCGGTGTTTTCTTTGACTGACGTATCTATTTCCTCTATTGTATTTTCAATGTCAGAGATTCTCTCTTCCATCTCTTGTTTTCTGTTGGTTATGCTTGCATCTGTAGTTCCTGTTCGTTTACACAGATTTTCCATTTCCAGTATTCCCTCAGTTTGGGTCTTTTTTATTGCCTCTATTTCAGTTTTCAAATTTGGAGATGGGGCCTTTCCTGTTCCCAGTCTGTGTAGGGCGTGTTTATGGGTATGGTAGTCACTGGTGTTGTAGGGGATGGTTATCTTTGCGAGGTGACAGGGGCTGCTATATACTATTTAAAAAGAGTGTTATTTCCTTCATTCACAAAAGGAAATTCAGACACTTGGAGTATTTTTCTAGCAGTAAAGCATTTATGTACGGAATGATATTCCCCCCTTATCACAGGAAAGAACGTATAATTTAAAATATGTATAAAGTTTTCAATATTTATACATATTTTTATTTTATTGAGCACATGAACAAATATATTAAATGGAAAATTGTTTGATAACCACTGTTTATGATGAAATTTTATCATAGCTTAAGAACTCAGCCATTAGTATTTTATTCTCCTAATAGTTTTCTTGTTTGATAAAAGTGGTAGAAACCTTCGTGGCTCACAGACATATATATTTAACACAAGTTTTTGGTGTTGCAGTAGAGGGTAGGATATTGAAAATAGACAAAATAGACAGTGGGGAATTAATTGATTAAGGTATGCATAGTGTTGTTGTTCGAGTCTTAGGTGGTCATTTAATAAAAAAACTGCTGTGGATATTAATTGCTCTGTATAAATAAACACTGATTGGCCAGTAGCCAGACAGGAAGTATAGGCAGGACTAACAGAGAAGAGAATTGAGGGAACAGGAAGGCAGAGGGACACACTGCCTACAGCTGCCACCAGGACAAGGAAGATGTAAGGTACCAATAAGCCACGAGCCACGTGGCAAAGTATAGGTTAATAGAAGTGGGCTAAATATAAGAGATAATAATAGGCCTGAGCCATTGGCTAAGCAATTTAAATAATGTAAGAGTCTGTGTGTTTATTTTATAAGTGGGCTCTGGGACTGGCAGGACTTGGTGGGAGCTGGAGAGAAATTCTCCAGCTACACCAAGTCAGATATCAGGGTGAAAGCTGAAAGATCAGAGAAGCAGAGCAGCCAGCCACTAGTTCTTACCTCTATGAAAACCTTAGCCTAAAGAGGGTGAGTTCCTGTTTCCTCATGCCTTTTAGGCCTTTCTCTACCCTGTCATATTACTTCCTGAGATTAAAGATGTTTATGTTTCCTAAGCAAAGGCATGAGATCTCAAGTGCTGGGATGAAAGGTGTGTGCCACCACTGCCTAATCTAGTGGCTGGCTCTGTCCTCTGATCCTCAGACACGTTTATTAGGGTATACAATGTATTACCACACAGTGTGGCTCAAGAAGTTATGTCCTAATGTTTTCAATGCTAGAAATTTGACTTTTAGATATAAATATACTTTCTTTTACATATGGATTTACTGGGAGAAGTGATAACCAGTGGACTTAAAGATGAAGTGACAGGAGAGTTACAGTATCAGATAATTATTGAACACACACACAAAAAAAGCCTTAAAAATGAAGCAGGGTCATCATGACTTCAAGGCCAGACTTCTCTACATAATGAGATCCTGTTTTAGAAAAGTAAGAATTCTTAGGTAACCAGTTCAGAGGCCATCTATGAAAGCCCTAGGTCAAGCAGTGTCCAAGATAACCAAGTCAGGTTCAGCACTGAACTAGCAAAAAAGTGAGAGAACATAGTAGGGAAGGATTTTATGCTTCTGGGTAGGACAATAAATTAGAAGTAAATTTAGGGCCTGAGAAAAACAGAAATAATGAAAATAGAGACATCTTTATTTCTTTTAATATAAATATATTGATTGATGACTTTATCCCATAAGTGTTAATTTTTGTTGTTGTTTTTAAAAGGAGATCTTATTGTCTTTTGGTTGTATGCCTTTAATAGCTGATCTTTCTCTTAAGCCTTGATTGTGTTTATTTTTTAAAAATTACACATAACAGAATGCTTATTTTCCTTTTTCAGTTTTTAAGTATGCTTTTATTAGAATTGTATGTTTCATTTGAAAAAAACACATATGTATCTATATATATTTTTTTTGTGTGTTAAGTCTGAAGATTTGAACAGGCCAATGAGTGTTCTCATCATCGAGGCATTTTATGGAGGATCCCATCGACAACTGGTAGAGTTACTCCAAGAAGAATTAGACAATTGTGTCCTCTACACCCTTCCTGCAAAGAAATGGCATTGGAGAGCACGGACAGCAGCTTTATACTTCTCACAGAGTATTCCCAGCAGCGAGCACTACAGGTAATGAGGGCTCTATTTTGCTTTTAAAGTACTATCAGGGTATTGCTTCAGTGTCTCTAGAATTTCTCTGACTGTGGACTTGGTAGATAGAAAGAACTTTATAAAACACAGAAAATTTTGAGAAGAAAGTACTGATTACATTTTAGGGGGAGAGCAAGTAATGTGGAATATGTTGGAGGTTTGTTGATTCTTGTTTTCGACAATTTTGTACATGTATATTGTATGTTGTTGTTATACTCTCCTGCTCCTATTACTGTTTCTTACATTTTTCCTGATTGTTAAGTGGTGGAAGACCATCTGACAGTGGCTCCTGTATCTAGTGTTCTTACTCTTTTGGAGTCCTGTCTATAGGACTGTGTTGGTTTAGTTGTGGTGAGGAGTGCCTGGGTGATATGAATGGAGCTGAAGCAGATAAGTTGTTGGAGAAAAGGTACTTTTCATTTCTCATGAAATGAGTTAGTCACTTATCAAAGGATCAGGCATCTCTACTCTCTTGGAATGTTCCCTAGACTAACATCAAGGAAATTTCATTCATTTTTCTTTTTGTAGTATTGTCACAGAACTGACATTATCATTGCTATTTAAAGTCCTGCTTTCTCCCCTCTGAAATTCTGTTTGTTGATCTGTGTGAGCTAATGTGGCAAAGACTGTTGTCACTTACTAGCCTTCCTTATCAACAGAATCAGAGTTTTATTTGGGGTGGCTAAACATCAAGCAAGCTCTAGGTATGAAACATTTTTGACCTAAGGTTTTTATGAAATCTCAATCTCTTTTGTCAAATTCCTGATTGTTCTTTGCAGTTAGAATTGGTCAGTCTCTGTATCATGGCAAATTAAAGTTAAGTAGATGTCCCCTGGAGTGCTTTCTATAAAGGAGTTTTTTTTAAATTTTATTTACTTATTTATTTTGTTTTTTCTAGACAGGGTTTCTCTGTGTAGTTTTGGTACCTGTCCTGGATCTCGCTCTGTAAACCAGGCTGGCCTTGAACTCACAAAGATCCTCCTGGCTCCGCCTCCCGTGTGCTGGGATTAAAGGCTTACACCACTTCCGCCAGGCTGTAAAGGAGTTTATTAACTATGTATATTATATTAAGGAAGAAAAGAGGTGCCTTCCTGCTTAGGTATTTGACTGTAGTTGTGATGTGCTGGCCAAGTGTGAGGACTGAAGAATAGGATTGTCACAAGAGGCTGATGAAAGGCTGTAAAGCTCTTTCATTTTGCACAGTTTAGTACACAGTCTCCTACAATACCCTTTATCTCTGAAAACTTCTAGAAATGCTTTGTAAAATACATCTGATTTCCCTTCATTTACTCAATCACAAGAAATCTTAAGGAGTTACAGTGGGGAAGACTCCAGGAAATGGGTTAACTGTTTCTGAAGCCTTGTCTAATTTCATAAAGGCAACTAAATAAATAGACATAGGAAGAAGGAAATAAACCAGCAGGAGTTACCCTGAGTATAGTAGAGAGTTAGATGAGAGGTGTATGTACAGTCAAAGTATATAATGTAAATGGGAGAAAATGTCATAATGAAACCTATTCACTTAAGGCATGCTAATATCTAATACACACACACACACACACACACACACACACACACACACACACACGCACACACACAACCTAAAGGGACAGCTAATGTTCCTTCCCTCTCTTTCCTTTCCTACTCCTAGTTTATATGGAAGGGCATTGAAATCTCCCACTGTAATTGTAGTTTTGTCTATTTTTTTCTAAACTATCATTCATTTTGGCTTTTTCTTTAACTTGTATGTAGAAATATGAACATAGCACTTACTAATATGGTCACATAATGTTTTGATACATGTTTCATGGGCTATTGTATTAGTTACTTTTCTCTCCAAATGCACGGCAGAAAGCAATGTCAGAAAGGCAGGGTTCAGTTTGTTTCCCAGTTCAGAGGAGAACAAAACAACATGGCAAAGCGTAGCAGCCAAATTGTGGTTGTGTCCATGACAATGAACAAGAAGCAGAGACAGGGTGTCACTGGTGCTACCCTGGTTTTCACTTCCCATTGGATAATGCCACCTTACTTAGGATGAGTCTTCCTACCTCATTGGAAATACCTGAAAGTGTGCCTGGTTAGTGCCCTTGACCTTTCTTAATCCAACAAAGTTGGCAATGAAAATTATCTCTCATGATCTTTAAATTACATTAAATATTTTAAGCCTTTACCATTTCAGGGTGGTAAAAACATTCAGAATACTTTAATCTTGATTATATATTAGTGCCCATAGTTCTCCTACAGAGCAGCAACATACCAAAACTTTTTATTCCTGAGAGCTTTCTCTATCGACTTATAAAAGACTCTTTAAGACTTAATAGAGTAGGGGAAAGCCACACAACATTACTACTTGCCACTTTTGGTATAAAGAAAATGGTAAAAGAATGAGACACAAGAAGGGCATTCTGGGGAATATTGTAGCAGAATTACTTCCCTAGCCATTATCCTGAGACCTTTCTTGTTCCCTGGCCTGCTTCCTATTGGTGATCTATGCAGGTTTTTGCTTCTGTGGGCAGCTGCTCTACATGTATACAGCTGGCTGAGAATAGCCCCAGACAAATAATCCTTGCCTGTCAGATGAACTGTTTATAAAGTATATACAGAAACAAGCTTATAGACAGACATTCCTGAACAGCCTATTCATTAGAACACGTGAAAGCATAATTGTGGTTACCTCAGGTATCAAAGGGGAAAACATCAAATATACCAAAAAGTAGAACTGATTATAAAGAATGTCATGGTCTGAGTTGCATTCACATCCATACCATGTTTTAAAATTTTAATTTTATTATATATCTGTTTTTAGTTGGTATATGCAAGGCCTTTCAAACCTTTTGGCTCAAGAAAGAATCCCTCTTGGTTGTACTTCGATGTAAACTGGAAAGTTAACAATAGCAGCAGTGGAAAATAGTGAAATTAAAAGTATATATATATATATATATATATATATATATATATATAATATAGATAAACAGAAAGTAGTTACTTGAAATACAGAAGTGGGTAGACTACAGGCACATTAAAGGCACAAATTTTTGTAATTAAAAATATATAGCATGGATTGATAAAAAATTGAAAAATCTATGTCTTGGTTAGGTTTTGTATAGCTGCAATGAAACACCATGACCCAAAAGCAAGTTGGAGATGAAAGGTTTTATACTTTCCACATTGCTGTTCATCACTGAAGGAAGTCAGGACAGGAATTCAAGCAGGGGAGGAGTCAGGAACGGATGCAGAATCCATGACGGGGAGCTGCTTGCTTGCTTGCTTGCTTGCTCTGGCTTGCTCAGCCTGCTTTCTTATAGAACCCAGGACCAGCAGCTCCGGGTTGCATCACAAACCATGGGCTGGGCCCCCTCCACCATTGATCACTAATTGAGAAATTTCCTTAGAGTTGCATCTCAAGGAGGCATTTCCTCAACTGAGGCTCCTTACTCTGATGACTCTTAACTTGTGTTAAGTTGACACACAAAACCAGCCAGTACAATCTATGAATACTTTTTATACATTTGAAAATGGACAAAATGGGTAATTCTTAGAAAGCATAACCTATAAAACTGTCCTCAGTGTAGAGATGACCACATGATTGAGGCAGGGTCCTGAGATAAGATTTTTCACCCTGCCCCTCACCAAATATATGTTTGGTGAGTTTAGCTGTCTTATTTTTCAGGTTCCTCACCAAATATATGTTTGGTGAGTTTAGCTGTCTTATTTTTCAGGTTCCTCACCAAATATATGTTTGGTGAGTTTAGCTGTCTTATTTTTCAGATTTCCTACATACTCATACAGATTGTAAATCTTAATACATGTTGTGATTGTGATATATTACTACAACATGAGTTTTATTTTAAATGTTTTTTGAAGTTTTTATGTTTGTGTGTGTATAATGTGTACATGTGTGTCCAATTCCTGTACGAAGGTGCTCATGTGGGACAACAGCCATGTAGAGGACAACCTCTAATGCTAGTTCTTGCCTTCCACTGTGTTTGAGGTAGGGTCTCCTTGTTGTTTCCTTTATACTGTGTACTCCAGGCTAACTGATCTTCAAGCTTTCAGGGGATTTTGCTCTCTCTGCCTCACTTCTCACTGTCTGGGATTGCAGACACATTCCACTGCATCTGGCATTTTGCATGGTTCAGGGAATTCAACTAAGGTTGTCAAGGCTGTGTGGTAAGTGTTTTTACCTGCAGAGCCCTCTCCCTGGTCACACATGAGCTTTTTAAAATGTTTATGGTAGATAGAAAATACAATGAGGAAATTTTTTTTTTTCTGAAAATACAAAAAGAAACTGCTTTTGGCATGTTCTTTATTCATAGAGTAGTTGAGGGTACACACAAAAAATTTCCTTGTTTAGAGTGCTTAATAACACTATTCCAAAATTATCCTCAGTCATGTATACTGTGAAGTTCTCTGATGTTTGTACTTGGCTAGGGGCAGTAGTATTCTGTTACCGGCCAGTTCACTGGCCTTATACTAGTTATATAAACTTCTTGTGGGGAGAGGACTGGATGATGTCTGATACTGTATAAATAATTTTGTTATTAGGTTGGGTGTAGGTAGCATCTATAATTTCACCAGTATTTGATTGGTCCATAGATGAGAATTGGCTGAGTGATTCCTCATCCCTTGCTCTGTTGACCAGTTTCCCTGTCCTATATAGTCTTAGGGCATTTGCTTTTGGCTTGTCTTCCTAACTCCTTTGTCTATTTGATCTACCTCGCACACACACTAGCCTAGATTTGGATGGTACTTTAAGGCTTCCTGCACAAAGTTTTATCTCTTTAAAGTCTCTTCTGAGTCTTCAGTTTAAATACCAGGACTTTATGTTGAAAATGTTGCTGACCACACTGATACTGAAACAGATTAATCCTGATAACCAAATAATAATTCAGTTATGTGTGGTCTCTCTCTCTCACTCTCTCCTGCACTTTCTCTACTCCTTCCTTTTTCTCTTGCTCTCTTGTGCTCTCCACCTTCTT